TTTTTTTTTTTTGTTTTGAGCTCACCTTTTTTCTCCCTCTCCTATTCTTCATTTCCGCCCGTCAATGTACGACGCGCGGCGCGGCGGTTTTTAAAAAGCGGGACACGCGAGAGGGAACATAACGCGAATATCGCTGGTTTCGCGGCGAGAAGCCGGGGATGAGGGGAAGGGTGAGGGTGAGAGCGAAGGACGGGCAACCGGAGGCCATTTTTATTCGACTATTCCTCCTCGATTTCGCAGGTGAAGTGTACCGCGATATCTGTGCCAAAAGCGGACTCGGTGGTATGGAGCTTCGCTGGTCGCGAGCTCAATTTCTCGTCGAACAATACGCCGTTCTACGTGCAGGAGGAATACACCGCCGAGAGAGTCGTCAGCACTGTCACGCTGCTCGATCCCATATCCACGTACTTCGGGGATTACAACTGCACGATCACGAATAGCTTCGGCACGGATTCCGTCATAATCAAGCTGACGGCACACAGTAAGTTCATATCCATTATAACCGACCTCTCTTTCTCTTTCACTCTCTTTCTCTCTTTATCTTCCTTTTTTTTTACTTTCCCTCTCTCTTTCTCTCTCTCTCTCTCTGTCTCTCTCTCTTTCTCTTTCTCTTTCTCTTACTCGCTCTCTGCATTCTTTCCTCCCGCGATTTCATGCTTTTTACTCGCGTGCGCGCGACGCGTCCTCGAAAAATTGCTACGTTTTCGGCCTGGATGAAACGCTCGAAGCATTTCCCAGGAACGAGAGACGAGAAATACATACGCCACGTTGTCGGGAGGCAAAAAAAAAAAGAAAGAAAGAAAAAAAAGTCAGATCTCGTTCGATGACGAAATTATGCGTATCTGCCGTGACGCGTTTCAAACGTGTTCGCGATCGGGACTTCGGGAATTCGAAGCGAATCGCATTTCGAAATCCGTCGAATGACGGTGCGCGCGCCCCGAACGGCGAAATGAAAACACCCGCGTGTGACGGAATATCGGCGTGAAACCGCAAGCCGTGCGTGTACATTCAGTGATTTTGCATCTTTTTTCTTGTTTTT